CTACGCACTGCCTCTACCGGTCCTGAAAGAGCATTCTTCATATTTGAGAGCTACTGTGCTTTTACTTCTTAAGGCTTCACATTCAACGCCTCAAATAGAGAAGAACTCCTTATCGGATACTGAAATGCTAACGGCGTTCTTCCAAAAATTCACGAATTACGGGATTTTATCAGTGAGCATGCTGTGGACCTCTTCCTCGTTCAAGAAACTCATCTGGTTGAGGTACGTGCCAATATTTCCAATTATTTCTGCTACCGCAATGACAGAGCGGCTAGCAACAGTGACGCTATTCGCACTAGTGATGGCACTGCAATTCATGTAAAACGCACTGTGAAACACAGCAGAATTCCAACTCCGCACATGGAGGCTCTCGAGGCAACTATTGTCCAAATTTATGTTCAAAATTTACCCCCATAGCAGTAGCGTCCTGCTATATGCCTCCGAGAAAGGGTCCTAATTTTATCCCTGATCTCAAAAAACTTAGCGGAGTCTTAAATAATATGATTATTGCAGGAGATTTTAATGCCCGTCATAGAAGTTGGGATTGCGTCACTGCCAACAACTATGGCGATAAGCTTAAAAATTGGGCTCAGGGCGCCCACATCCAAATTGTAGCACTAGGAGTACCTACACATTATCAGTTCCCTGGTGGCATAGGTACTCCATCCATTATTGATTTGGCATTGTTCAAACACATACCATTAGCTCATTTGGTACAAGTGATTCTGGAATTGTCAAGCGACCACTACTGGTTCACCTCACCCTAAACTGTATCAAAATTTACCAGCACAAGTCTCCACTATTTGGGACAATTTTCGGCATACTCTGAATTCTAATAAACTACCCATCCTCAAAATGAGCAATAATCATGAAGTTGATAACTCTTATCGAGCAACTCACCAGCACAATCAAAGGTGCATTTGATGCGGCCTCATTTCCTAAATTTAGAACCAACTATTCTAAACTCCCGGCTAACATTGAAGAAAAAATCAAAATTAAAAATTGTCTTCGTAGATATTGGCAAAGAACCTGAGTTGAAACTACCAGAACCCAACTACGAAGACTCCAGAAAGAGATTAAATCTGATATCAAAAGATAAATACAATAACTGATGATAAATACAATAACTATCTTGAGTCCTTACAGACCACTAATAATAGCCTTTGGGAAGCTAGCGCTCGGCTACACAAACCAAAAACAGACATTCCCCCCCCCTAATGGGCACCACTGACAAGGCTGAACGCCTTGCAGACAGCTTACAAGAAAAATTTTCAATTTTCAATAATGGACCTCTGTTCGATACCTGCACTCCGCACGGGCGAGAAGTCCAAATACAGGTTGACAATTTTCTCTCCTCAGCACCAGACTCAGGAGAACTCATAAAAACAACAATGACAGAAATTGCATATACCACATGTGATTTAACCCCCAAAAAGGCATCAAGTCTGGATAACATTAATAACCACATGATTAAAAACCTCCCTGTTAAATTTATATTTTACCTAGCATTTTTGTTTAACACTATGCTAAGGCTAAAATATTATCCTAATAGCTGGAAGAATGCTTGTGTCATTCCCATTCTAAAACCTGTTTCGGACCCAAAGTCCCTCAAAATTACAGGCCGATCGGCCTCCCGTCTTCACTTAGTAAACTCTACGAAACTATATTGCTTAGACACCTGAAAGATTTCTGCCGAAACCGAAATATCATTATTCCTCAACAATTCCATTTTCGTGCTAAACACTCCACTCAAGCCCAGCTATTGAGAGTAGTGGAAATCATTCATACAGGTGCTCGCAATAGAATGCCCAGAGCAATCGTCTATTTAGACGTAGCTAAAGCATTCGACAGGTGTTGACACATCGGCATTATATACAAGCTCATGCGATTTGGATTTTCAGCTGACTTTGTGCGACTAATGCACTCCTATCTCAGTAATAGACAATTCTGTGTAAAAGTTAAAAATTCTCTTCCCCCCCCCGTCCTATTCCGGCCGGTGTCCCTCAGGGCGGAATCATAAGAGCATATTTATTGAACCTGTATGTAAATGACATCCCACAATCACCTGCTGTCAATCTGGCACTTTATGCAGACGACACTGCCATTATTTCACAACACTCGAACTCCATCACACACTTCATCATCTCTAGCAATACCTGTCAGATTTAGAGTCCTGGCTCATTGACTGGAAAATAGAAATTAACGTTGCCAAAAGTGCTGCCACAGTTTTCTTTTCCAGAAAAAGAAATGTCCACAGCCAACTCCAACCACTCAAGCTCTACAACGAAAATGTACCTTGGGTGGATTACTATAAATATTTAGGAGTTTACTTGGATGCGAAGCTTAGCTGAGGCATTCACATCACCTATATAATAGCTAAAGCCAGGACTACAATATCTCAACTCATGCAACTAATCTCAAGAACCAGCCACCTCTCTCTTAGAAACAAGGTACTCCTCTACTCAAGCCCCATCATGCCAATACTCACAAATGCAGCTCCTATCTGGGCCACTGCAGCTAATTCTCATCTAAAGAAGATACAAGTTTTTCAAAACGTCACGCTTCGCATCCTAACTAATGCTCACTGGTACGTTCGTAATGAAGTACTTCATTCTGACCTCAAAATACCTCTCCTTGATGCTATTTTCAAGCATGTTTCGGCAAAATTCTTTAATTGTATTGAAGAGATTAGTAACCCAGTCCAGCACACTATACCTGCCTATATTCCGGCAGAACCCAGCTCTACCAAGCGACCTAAGGCTGTAATGAACAGATCTTATAACATCTTCCCTTGGAAGCCTAAAAAGGTTTGCCTGCTTGACTAGGGAAACTAATCTGATTAAAATTAAAAGTACTTCACGGGCCTAACCCGGCTACTCTTAACTGTTCTAACTTCCCCCAGACCTAATCTGGCATTGTTTCCCACGAATCCATCCCCGTGCTACAGTAAGAAAATTTAACCTGCCTTTGCAAAGATCTTATTTGCCAGACTTAATTTACTTAATTAAAACTTAATATATTTAATTAAATTTATTAATTCCTTTTAAAAAATGACCACTTCATTCAGCTACTGCCTCCGGCTGAATACAGACACATTAAACTCCACTGTAAGAATTACCTTTAAATTAATTTCGTGCACTACACTTAACTTCTCTTACACTCATTCACCTTACGGTTCTTCACCGCCCAAATCTGCTCCAGTTAAGTCAATAGTTAATGTTAGACTTGGACTCCTCTGCAACCGCTAGTTTCGCCTCTTTCTTCCTCCTTTGTCCTGCAATCCGACCATCACCAAGGCTCTTAGCTATACGCTTGGATACAATAATTTACCTTACCTGAGGACCGGTTCTCCTTCAACTGCGCCTCACTTCATCAGCTGATCTGTCTCCATAGCAACCATTCACGCTTTTCGCGCATTTGCTCTCTCTTTGTACCTGAGCTACCTGCAGTTAATTCACTATGGGGGGGGGCTAAATGCCTTTCAATTGTGATAAACTCTTGTACTCTCCTCCTGCGTCCTAACAATTAAGGACCCTAAGCAACTTTTGACTTTGGCATAACTGCTCTTTCCTTTACTTTAGCAACTGCTTCTCTCTTATTTATTTCAATTTTATGAACGATGATGTGGAGGTAATTGCAATTCATTGCAAAAGTACTCCGTGATCCAAATGCCTTGGTCCCTTGATCCCTTACCCATTCTTTTTAATTTAAGAACTTATATCATCATAATTTTAAAAAGTAGTAGAGCTAAATTCTAGCATTATTTGTTCATCGAAAGTAACAAAATTTAAACAAAATAAATAAATACATGGCTAACATGTTTTAGGATACACATTTCCCCATGATAAAAATGTAATGTAAATTTTTCAATGCATGAATTTAGTCAATATAATTTAAACAAAGCATAAAAAAAGACACCGACTTTAAAAAAAATTATTTTTAGTTAATACGAAATATCTCCCCCAAAAATAACAAAAAGTATTTGGTTTATTAATTAGCACAATAGGGGACAGAGTGAAACAGTGATATCAAAAGATGATTATATACGGTGACTGAAAACTTCTAAGGCTTCTTTTTTTCTCTCTCATGTTGTCAGACAAAGCAAACATATGCAAGTTTTTTAAAAAAGGCCATACAGAAATTTGCCTGAACCTGCAGCTGGAAAATCATACCTTTTTTAATGTTTAGTGGTAGCAGATCAAAAAGATGTCTCATGGCAGAGGTATGTTTGTATAAGGCTATGCTTCAATATTTCAATGGCAAAACTATTTTGAAGACTTACACAGAAGTGATTCACAGAACACCCTGTGGCATTACTGAAAGTATGGAGTCAACAAATGGGCAAACAGTGAATAGTGATTATTACAAAAGCATCCTGAAAATCAATTTGTGTATGGCTACAAGGGGGAAAAAGGACAGACTGCAATTACAAAACAATACATGACTGCATGTTGCTGCTATGCCACATCAGCAGTATTGTCTAAAATTGAAATGACAACATGCAAATACTCTTTATTATAATGTAGATTTCACACTATATGATTTCTGGATGTTCTCCATACAGAAGACATCTACGTGAAAAAAGATTTTTTTGGATAAGGATATGAAAAATGTTATGCCCAGAGTGTTTGCCACAAAACAGCCTCTTTCATACTTTTTAATCATTTAAAAAAAATGTAAAAAATGTCTTTCAACATGGAGGATAATATTTTTTTAAATAAAATAATACTAGGTGCATACGGTCATTCAATTCAATGTAAATATATATATATATATATATATATATATCAGTCTTCAGTCAACCCTCATTTATTTTAAATATTAAACAATTATAATCCAAATTTTGCCTTTTTTGGAATAAGGAATCATTTTAATACATAAAAAGTGATATTTTAAAAAACTTAAAGCATTACAGGAAAAAAAAAGCATTCAAGCATTTTACAGCAAATTAAAATTCTTAAAAGGTCTTTATATAAAATCTCAATGAAATATAAGCGTACCTCATTATTTAAAGCTAAAGCTTGAATTAGATCTTGCCTGTTATTGAACTCAGCATACCCAAATCCCCTGATGCGCCCTCTATCTCCTTCTCTTGGAAGACGAACATTCTTAACCTAAAGAAACATACAAAAATTTATTTAAAGTACAACAAAATTAGAAAATCAGTTTAATGCTAATGATTGATGTGAAATTTTAAAAGAGTAAACAGATATAGATCTATATATCAGGGTTCATAGCCACATTTTAGTTAAAATAATAAGCACCTATAAGCACTTTTCAAGCACATTTTAAGAAAAAAAAATAAGCACCTGTCTAATTACATTATACACAACTGCATAACCTTAAAAGAAAAATTAGACTTGCAATTTAAAATATGAGCAATGCAATATTTATTAAGAGAATGAGCATTACCTCAACCATGGAAAACAACTTTTTTTTTTTTTTTTAAATTTTAAATGACAGTTCAATTTACAGAATTAGTTTACAATGAGAGAAAAAAAAACTATGCAGAACTAAACTATATTACAAGATTTAATGATGAAATTTCAGTTCAAAATATAGAAAATAAATAATAATAAGCCATATAAATTGTACTCGCTTGGCACCTAATAAAAAATACAATTTATTTTTCCACTCATATTAATATTTCAATAATTTAAATCAAAATTCTGAACATTTTCTAAATTTTCATTGCATTACAGTTTTCCCTTAACATATATTCCAAGCAAAGTAATTTAAGTAAAAAAGAGGAACATTTCTGAAATCAGGAGAAGGGAAATTGCTTCATGCAGTCATCCTTAAACAGTAAAAGCTTAACTAACCCGCATACTCGGAAATTGCTGAATATTCCGTATGGTCGAGCGTAACTGGAAAAAGAGGAGGGGGGAGATTGTAGCCATTCTTTAGATTTCTCGGCTAAATAAATGATTTTGACATTTCGATATGTGCATCATATAAATATAGACCAACGGAACTGAGAAATATTCTGCTTAGAAAGCACAGTAAAACTCTTTTAAGTGTTCATAAATAAATCTCAGACTGAACATCAAATTAATTATCTCTGCAAAATATCGCATACATTATATTGCACAATACGTGCAGCGTAATTCTTCTATATGTGATATTACGCAATCGGAATCAACAGCTGTCGGTATTCGGAGAATAAAGAACTAAATAAAGGAAAAGAAAGAGACTTACTAATCTGGGGTGTTTTTGATTCTAATTTTGAACAGACTGCGTTAAATTTCTGGAATAGAATCATTCTTCGCTTGGGTTGGGTAGACCGCAAAACTTTTAGTCCTATTCAATCCAGATTGGACAGTGACAAAAAAAAAAAAAAAAAAAAAAAAAAGACCGCTGCTTCAATATTAAGAGATTTTGCGGAGAAAGGAGAGAACCTCCCAACCTCCGAAATGTATAATGTATTGGGGGAAAAAAATTATTCTGACTGTTCAATTACTTTCCTTAACCCTTTGAGGGGCGGTATATAAAATAATTTAAACTGTGGTAAAATTTTGCATGAACTATAACTTATGGACCCTAAGGACACAAAATTGAGACTTAAAAAAATCTAAAGCGAAATCCTGAATTTTGAGAGCCGGTATATATTTTATACCAGCGCCCCTCTAGGACATTTTTTTTCTAGGTAGTCGCCAACTGTAAATCTGTTTTTTAAATTAATTTTGGGTACTTTTGATGTGCATCTGTAGTGATGAGCGCTTGAATATAGTTATGTAAGTCTAAAGACAAATTTTTTTAAAATTTCAGCAGAAATTTAAAATTTTAAAAATAAAATTTATCTTTTTATGCACTTTGATGATGCAACCCAGCTGAACATACTTATGTAAAATATCGGTAAAAAGCTTTTCAACTTGATTTAAATTCAATATTATTTTATAAAAAAATTTAGCAAATATAACACTGCATGTGTAAACCGTATCACGCTGTAACTGAACTAGTATAATATTACAAGCAGATGTAACTCAGCCGAAAATTTAAAAAAATTGAAAAATGAAGCACTACGACCGACTCAGCTCAGAAAGTATGTTGCATTTTTGAAGTTGTATTTTATGCTTTAGATAATATGTGAAAAAAACCATGCTTCATACTATGATACGAAGAATCGCCCCCCCCCCTCCACGCACACACACTTTAGATCATCGAGGACCGTGTAAGGGTCCCTTTTTTATTTTTTGTAAATATAGGTTGTAATATATCTTTTTGTTCAGGAAGAAACGCCGTTAAACAATTTTATTATTTGATACACCTCAAAGCTCTTATTCTGATTTTCAACCCCTTTGGCTTCATAGGATTTTCAATCCCTTTAGCTTCTAGGATATCTTTGAAATTTATGATCCTTTGGTTACAGCAGCAATACCAAAGGGATTGAAAATCAAATAAGAGCTTTGAGAAGCTCCTTTTCAACTTTTGGATAAATTTTAGTTTGCATCTAAAACGGGCCTTAGAAATATTTTTTCCTCCTTTCACCAACTGTGAAAATTTATTTTCCGAAACAACCTATTTGTATCAACCAGAGGGCGCAAATTTCTCTTGTGTTCTCTCTCTAGTCTTTCATCTGAAATTAACAAAGAATTAAAAAGAATTTCCCTAAAGAATAAAGGCATGCTTTCAAACCAGCAGTTTTTGTGATTACACTATGAGATGGACCTTAAGTACATTTCCATTTTAAGTGAGTTTTCCCTTTGTATGATCTTATCACATTTCACAAAGGGAAGAAGGCGTGACTCCCAAATGACAAATGGGTTGTCAATCACCTCTTTTCTTACATTCTAGGATTTTGGAAAACAGGAAGCAACAGGTGTCTTTTGGGGGCTACCATGCCACGTTTAACCCCCACAATTGTGTAAAGTTTTGACCCCAGACGACAATTTTGAAATCGATGAGTCTTTCTCTTGGGAAAGAGATAAGTGCTGAAATAAAAATTTTAGCTAAACACAGACGAATGAAACTTGAGCTGAGTACACAAATAATAAATGAAACTAATACACTTGTATTCAGTCCTAGCGCAGGGTCAGTAAACTCCCCAGTCCTCCATGAACATAATATTTAGTCATAAATGACATATAAGTTAATCATGAAAAATTATTACGTCATAAACTGTTATAATAATAAATAAATTCTGTTATGTCACAGAGTAGAAAAGGAGAAGACTGGTGCTGCCATCTATTGGCGTGGTACCCTTAGTGTGGGCGCCAGTATATATTATATACCGGTTTTAAAATCGTATAAATAATCTTCTGTTAATTATCACTTCTGACTGAAATGAAGTAAATATATATGATTCAGCATGTATACGTCATATATTTGCAGATTTTGAATTTTTTCTTTCCCTCCAATAGAATTTATCAATCTTTCCAACATGATACCTTGGAACGAGGTATATTAGTTTTATAATTGTAAAATATTGAGCATTCATAGGGTGATGTTGCTATTTAGAATCGAAAGAAAGTACTAGACACTTACGATTATAGCTTTTGGTGTAGTAAAATTAGCATTTTTTCGGAGGTTAAAAAATTAACAAACAACCGGTATATATTATATACCGGTGCCCTTCAAAGGGTTAAGCCATTCCGAATATTATTCCTTAGAAAGCTAATCCGTGTAAAAATATACCCATTTTTGGAAGTTTATTTACACTTCAGCAGCTACTGCAACTATATTATTATAAATATTCATACATATGCTCATAATATAAGCATAACGATCATAATAAACACGAATATGAACTGACCACGCGGAACTAGAATGCAAATTATTAAGATCTTGATAGAAATTCAAATGTGTGTAGTATTTGGGTGGACGGAAAAGAATACCGAATGTACCGGAATTTTCTACGGTTTTCGCAATTCTTTGACCAAAAGAACGACGTGCAACTGTCTGTACTCTCGTGCGCACCATAGGTTATGTTAATGCAGAGAAAGGGGGAAAAGCTATTTCCGGGAGTATAATTCACCATCTGACGTTCCATATAAGGAAGAAAAGTTTTTTATTTAGTTTCGGCTTTGGTATGGGAGGAAAAATGTGCGTTAATTAAAAAAAAGCACTAAAAGCAAAAAATAAGCACTAAAAACAAAAAAATAAGGGCTTTAAAGAAAAAGTAAGCACCTATAAGGGCCTTTATATTTTGTTTTCAAATATAAGGACTTATAAGCACTTGTAAGGACGGCTACGAACCCTGTATATGCATGAAATCAAGTGCTAATATTATTAAAAAAATCCATACAGCTTTACCAGAAAATATTTATCTTTTACAAACTGCTACTGAAGAATCAAATCAATAACAGAAATAATAATGTTATATTACTCTTTAATATTTAAAATGGTATTCCTTAAAGTTATGTGAAAGATGAAAAAGCTGGAGTAATAATAATAATAATAATAATAATAATAATAAGAGCCCTAAGAACGTTAGCTGAATTACAAAAATGCCTTCAGAAAGAGGTAAAATTCTGTAAAACTTTTAAAAGCATTACAATCACCGAAAGTGAAGTAGCATTTTCTAATGCTATGATATCAAAAAACTCAGTGTAATCAGTACAATTAAAAGACAGTCAAAGTTTAATTCTAACTATTCTTGCCCTTTTGTATGCAGGTTGCCTAGCATTTGTAAACTTTCATTTTACAATTTAGGAAATGTAAGCTTGCATTTTAAAATTAGCTGAAAGCTTTGATCTTGAAATCTGCAAAAAAATTAAGTTACTTTATTCTACTGAAATAAAGCTTTCTTCAAATTTACAAGTAAAAATCTGACACAACATGTTTTCCTTATACAGCCTATTAAATTATATACATTTTCTGCTGCATTTCATTTAAACTTACTTCCTAGAATTTCAATACAGATATAATTCTTTCTCATTCAGTGAATTTTCTCACTTTGCAGCAAGGCAAAAATAAATAAAAACTCAAAACATAAAATCTTCATAAAAATTGAAAAATACGGAAAAACATCAAATACAGTTAAAAACAGTTCAAAATTTCTTTTGCAAGTAAAATTAGTTTCTATACAAAAACAAGCAATTCAGTTAACGGGCACGAAGACAGAATCTTCAGTGCATTAAACTGAAAGTTTACTTTTGATCCCATTCAGCAAAAAGACACTGAAGTTAGTGCAGAAATTGACATAATTCACTATTCTACTACTAGTTTCAAATGTAACTAAATGGCAGGTTTGTTAGGCTTAAACAACTTTTAAATTGTAGATAGTTTCTTAACTGCTGCATGTAGATTAACTAGAAGGCATAAAAACCTTAACTGGAACATACGAACAACATAATTCAATCACTTTTAAAGCAAAAAATGCACAATTTACCAACATATAATAATTAACATTAATAATAACTGAGCTCACCAAGCCAGTAACAGTGTGTGTGTGTGTATTTGATGTGGCTGATTGCAAACAAAAAGGGAGGTGCACAACTACATGTTATAGCAGTTCCCTACACAAAATTTCAACGCTCTGAAGCTATTCGCTTTTGAGCTATGCAAGATACATAAGTATAAAGGTCATGAAAACAATCTCTTCTGAATCCCTTTTAAATCCATTTTGGGAAAAAAAGTCCTTTATTCTGTCCGTATAAGCACATTTCATGCAAAAACATTGCTCAAAAGATTTTAAAGTAGTCAAAATTGATACTTTTTCTGAAATATGATACCTAAAAAGTTTTTGCGATTACCATACTTCCTTTACTTCATACAATTAAAAAAAGGTTTATTTTTTCAATAATATATTAATATGGGAAAATACAGATGAAGTTCCTAAACACAGTGCCAAATATTTACAACAAAACACCTTCATGGTTTAAATGACAAACCTGAAGTTGTCGGAAAAACATAATAATATCATCTTCTGATATATCATAAGGCAGATTTCCTAGGAATGCTGTATATGGAGGACTAGTAGGAACTTTACTAAGATCTACATCTGGACCACGAGCAGCTTTTGGTGCAGTGGGCAGTACAACCTTTTCTTCTTTTTTGAAGTCCAAAGTGTATCTATCTGAAAAATTATTGATAGTATGTTAACAGCATACTAAGATAGTTATTACAGTGTTAAAGTCAAATGACAAATATTAATAAATGGATAACACTCATACATAAGGTTATCATAAAACTTTAACTCAGATAGTACTAAAGGCAATGAGTTACAAAGGATGACAAAAATAAAACATTAAAATAATACATGTATACCATTTATACCACTTTCAGTTTCATGAAATAGAGATAAATAAGAATTTCTTGTGCATTAATGAAGTCTGCTAATACAGAATTTTGTCAAAAATGATTCAACAACAACAATAAATCAAAACAGACTTAAATTAACAGTATTTATAACTGAAAATGATACTGACAAGATTAAATTTTAAATAGTTTAATATGTGAATTTATGAATGAATATATTAAGTAATGTATATGCATAAAACTTTTATTGCTTAATAAAAGGGTGGCCAATTATTAATAGATTTTATTTAATACAAGTATAACACCATTTAAGTACAATGCTATGTATTTATATGAACTGTCATTTACTACTTCAGTATTTTGAAACTATGAAAAAACATTCAACAGTAACATTATTACATTGAAATGATATATGTTTTAAAATACAGATGAGATTTTTAAAACACTATATTCTCATATCAGAGTACTGCTTTCAATTTGGGGCTTCTCATGCTAGTTATATTAACTTGTCTACTGTTTGACGATTAATTCCTTTGAGCATCAAAGTTTTATACAAGCTTAGAAGTGGGAGCATTGAAGGATTGGCTACCACTCATTCTAAAGCAAACCCAATGAAGTCATCCATGCACTCCTTTTAAGGTTCTCCTCTTGGAGAAAGTACATGGCTTTTACGAATGGCAATGCAGCTGCTGTTTCCTAACAGCAATACATCTGCAGGCAGGCATGGTCTAGGCTGTCCTTATAACAAATATTCTAACTACTTGATAAAAATGATTCACTAGACCAGTTTGATATGGAATTGAGAGACCTGATTTTTAAAACTACCCATTTCAAAGAAACAAACAACTTATCAAAGGTTCTTGGAAGAGACAGTTATGATGATAAGATGCATTAAATGATACCAAAACTAGACTCAGAAGAGTGATTTTAAAATTAGGCAAAAAATCAATACTAAACTGGCATAGATTCTTAAATAAAACCGTCTTTGGTACTTACGTATTACCCCATTGACCAAGGACACATGTCGCTAAGTAGCCTGATTTACCACCAATTATAGATAAGCATGATGTAACGATACACTCAAAACATCTGTGCTTTCATTTAACGTAACACTGATTGATTCTTAAAAGTCGCATTTTGCTTTTATTAACATATAAGGACATAAATTAACTGTTACTGATGAAAATTTTGCTCTCATACTTTGAAAAAATTTATAATTTGGGATCTACCTTTTATAGAACAGCAAACAGTAGATTATTTCCAAAATTATAAGACCATCAAAAAAGCATACATTAATGGACATAATATGATCAGCTAAATAAAGCCAACTAAACAGTAATAGATTGGAACAAGTACCTGTGGAAAATATATACTCATAGTGTTCCAAACAGAGCTTCGGGTAAAACCACTTGGTCTAAAAAAAAAATCAAGCCTTTTTATGGAGGACAAAAAATGAAGCAGGTTGAATACTAATTGTTTATTAGAAGAGGCATCAGTTCCTTCAGAATTTTGCAGGAACGATTGCCACATCTTTGGCGAAATCTTCGTCAACATTCATGGTTTGACGGCACCCAACTCTCATGATCAACGGAATGATCTGTAAGTAGCCTCTCTTTACTTTAAAGCTGATCAAACACTGATCCCTCTTCTCCAGGAGAAGAAAAAATGTATTACAAAAAAAAAAAAAAAAAAAAAAAAAGTAAAATACTTTTTGCACCTGAAAAAGAGAGACCTACATCTAATCCTTTCAAAATCAATAAAGTTTTATTTAAAAACCAGCATAAAAAACAACCGAGGTTGCTTTTTGCCCAGTTTTGAATTCTAACTGGCTTATTTCTGCTTCAATTAGAATTCAAGGGATGATAATAGGACACACAAAAAAATTTCAACCCCCCCTAAAAAATGGCATAATATTAGTCAATGAATGTAAATTTTGTTTTCGAAATACAGATCCCTTCAGTAAAATAATTACAAAAGCACAAAAATCAAAAAGAAAAATCTATAAACATTTTTCGCCCTGTTATAAAACTAAAGATATACTAAGAAAGGAAAATAAATAAAAATTAGGTTTCTGACAGTAGAAACATCTATACTTGTTTAGAATCATGTAACATTCCATTACTGTATCATCCATGTAGCCTAGCAAGCACTAGCACTTTTTCAGAATTATAAAAAAATTGTCCCCTAGCTAACTGCCAGATGCTGGAGATAACGCCATATAATATGGCATAAGGTGCTAATTTATCTTTCCTATTAAAACTACAAATTGCTTAATTAACTGAATGTTTTAAGAGATTCATGAATTCTTAATGATTTATATTTTTTAACAGCATATCTGATTTATGTAATTTATTCCATTTATTTCATATGATTTACAGCATCCTAACTACTAATCAGAATAATCATCTGATTATTGTCTAATATTGTTTTGCTTGTTTACATTTTTTAAATACATAGCAACAAAATCTAGATGCTATAAAGGAAACTTCAGAAATTTTACAAAGTAAATATTTCTATTTTTTTCCACTTTGAATTACTGTTCAGAAGAAAACAATTAGAATGATAATTGAACAATAATGTTTGATTAATTTCTGATATTTCGATAAATGTATTTCTACTAATTCTGAAAGCAAAACAGGATTTTGATTAGTTTTTAACACAGTTTTAAGCACCATTTTTTTTTTACTTGTCCAACACAATATCGGAAAACTGCATTTCAGAGGGACTAAACTATTTGTTTAAAAGACACTCTGTACATAAAAAAAGCTGGAAAATTGGTTTAAATTTAGAAAAAGAAGGTAAATATTGATTTAAAATTATAAAAAAAAATGCAATGGCAGAAATTTAAATAGATTTAATAATAATACTTTTACAATGACTAAATGCAAAAAAAAAAAAAAAAAAAAAAAAAAAAAAAAAAAAAAAAAACGAACATTAATATGTAAATATTTTGGTTATGCATAAAATGAATCATCAATTAATTATAATCACCAAAAAAATCATAAAATTAACAAACATAATATTTTCATACAAATAGGAAAAGATATTGTGATCACTGCATTTAATTTATAAACACTACTATAATTAAACACACCTTTTGATAAAAATCAGTACATATTTTAATTTCTTTAAAGGATGAGTAAAAAATGATAGCAAATGCCTTTTTTACTACTTACAAAGAACACACAAAACAAAAGAAAAAAAAATACCATCAAGGTCCTCATTATCCATTGTATCTCCCCAATCAAGAATTCGAGAAGTTTGGACAACAGCAAAACCAGAAGGCGCATCTTGATCTGCGCCTAAAAATGTGTTCAAATTTAGGGTTTTCCCCTTGCATTTTCGTTTACTTTTAGCTGTAAGTGGGGAAAAAAAAAAAATTTCAGTTATTTTATAAAAGAAAAAAAAAAAAAAAAATACAATAAATATTTGAAGCATATGGGATTAAAATGTAAGAAGTGTAATTTTTGGAGCAACAAACGTTACTTTATTCATTTTAGAAATTAGAAACAAAACAATTTCTAAAAATCAAACTAATTTAATGACAGGAAAAAAATCTCATTAAATTTGAAAAATTTACCAGTAATTATTTTTTTTAATGTTTAGAAAGATAATTACATTTTAAGACTTGTGAATGCAAATATTATTAATTCATGCAACTGAAGAAAATTAGTCAAGAAAAAATATTAAGGCATATAAAACAAGCATTCCTGACATTTCTGGATATGGCAGCACTTAAAGCATTTACAACATAAATATTAGATGCAATACAAAATGGAAATAGTAACATTTTAAGACTTGTTCCTAAATGTAAATATTAAAAATTCTTCCTGCAATTGAAGAAAATTAGCCCAAGAAAACAGTAAGATATAATAAAACAAGCATTTCAGGGATTTCCAGATATAGTAGTATTTAAAATATGAATATTGGATGCAATACAAAATAGAAATGGTAACATTTTAAGACTTGCTCCTAAATGTAAATATTAACAATTCTTCCTGCAATTGAAGAAAATTAGCCCAAAACAGTAAGATATAATAAAACAAGCATTCCAGGGATTTCCAGATATGGCAGCATTTAAAATATGAATATTGGATACAATACAAAATAGAAACAATTTTGATAGCATATGTCATAATAGGATAATTTCTGACTATCCACACTAACAAAAAGCTCCCAATTTTATAAATTGGCAAAAAATATGCTGGCCATTTCTACAGGTCAAGTGTATCATTCTATTTCATTAATAATAAAATTAAGTGTTTTGTACAAAATAAGATATTTTATGGGGGGGACAGATATAGTGTTAGATGATAATTCCAAATTTCTTCACAGAATTTCATTGATAATATTTCTCTGTTAAAAATAAAGTTGAACCATTCTTGTTAAAGATATACGGCTATCTATAATCTGGTTTTTAGCTTGCCTCCCACTGAGACAGCAGTTTTTTTTTTTTTTTTTTTTTTTTTTTTTTTTAAAGCCCAAAGGGGCAATTTGTCCAGAAGGGTTATTAATTTCATTTTTGCATTGACTGATTGCATTGATTTTTGCATTGAATACTGAGGCTGTAGTTCCCCCCCCTAAAGAGGCAATTTGCCCAGAAGGACTATTAATTTCTTTTTGACATTTTGCGTCGGTTCACTTTTCAAATTGTTGCCAACACATACTAGAGCTCTGTATTATATTAAAAGAATTAAATAATGTAGAATTTGCATAAATGTATGTATAAATGTTTCTCACATTGTGATAAAACAACAGTACGTAGGGCCATCAAATTTTGAATAGCATACCTTTCCACTCGAATATGGGCATTTGGAAGCAGGGCTGTGGAGTTGGAGTCATGAAGTCGGAATCAGGAAGATTTTGTGGTAAAAGGAATCGGAGCTGGAGTCGCTAAAAACAGGTTGACTCAGACTCCAGTTTTTGTTGGACAGTTTGAATTTGAAATGAAATTAAAATGAATTGAAAAAATTAATGACAAGCTGAGTTATTATTTTTATTTATGAACTGTATACATAGACTCCAACCTTCAGCAAACCTTGTCAGTAGTCAACGCGTGAACGACATTTTTACAACTTTGAAAATGTGCGCGTAGCGTATGTTGTAATTAACCATTCATTAATTTTAAATTAATAATTAATTGTAATCAATTTTATTACATTTAAAATCCATATACATATAAAACTGAATAATTAAAAATATACCTTGTAAATTATATGCACATTTAATTAGAAATTTTCTTTTAACTCCTTAAGCATTCACTAATAAAAAGTACTTCAAATCACTACTAATCATAGAAAAAATCAGAAGCTATAATCATATCTTTATTCTGGATATGATTTCTACAGGGAAATAAAATTTAAATAACCAAGAATGATACATATAAGTATTAAACAAAATACGCATAATTTATGAATGCAAAGATTTATATGTAGCATGCTTAGCAAGCTTAAGTTCTGATTTTGAGAATGTTTTTTTATAACACAGTTCTTCATTTGCCTGCATATTTATTTTTTCAATCAAAACTGCTTCAAGAGTTTTAAGACCTAAATTTGGTCGAAATTCCGTCTGATTTTTTTTAACAATAGAAAAAATTCTTTCGCAAGCTGCATTTGAATGAGGTATTATTAAGACAGCAAGCATTACAGAAGGCAATACTTTGTATTTAATACACCCATTCATATTTTTTAATTTGGCAATTTCTCCCCATGCTATATCAATACGCAAATCTACAATTTCTTTCAAATCATCTACTTGATACATGGAAAATTCAATTCTTCTACTTGATTAAGACATTTTTCATCAATAATGGATGGAAAAGTATTCATCAAGTAAAGAACAGATGAAAATGAGACTTCAGTTCTCAAGTTGATGTCAGCAACTTCAGCATGTTTTAGAAATGGATCACTCAGTGGAAATTTATCAATTATATATGAACATGCAGTTACAAAAAAAAGCTCGCACAGAATTGAAAAATGATTTCACTTCACTTTCATTCAACTTGGCATTTTTTAAATATAGTCTTGTTTTCGCACCAATCACTAAATTTTCATTTTCTTTTTGTTTACTATACTTCTGAAATGGAATAGACGTTTAGAGTAACATCTTCATTTTCTTTAGAAATTACTGATGGTTTTACGAATCTAACAAATAAATTCATTAAAAGTTCAAAAAGTTCTCTTCTCAATTTATGTATATAAGGAGCTTGTTGTTGCAAATTAATATTTACTGTTATAAACAAAGATGCAAAGTATTTTTCAAAAATAACAAGTACAATGGTTTGGTGGTAGATGACTGTAAATTTTTTTTTAATGTTTTGCAATCTCTTTCCTTTCATTCTCACTGTTATCTGGTTTATCTCCCCAAAAAATTTAATGACAGCATCCCAATGTTCCAAAATCCTTGTTATAAATAGATTCTAAAAGAGACAACCATCTCGTACTGCAATATTTCAAAATTTTATGAGATTTTGCCATTATGTCCCAAAATGTGTTGAGCAACTTTGAAGCTATGCTTCCGTTTCGAACTTTTCTCCAGAGTAAAAATATATATCTATTATCAACATTTCAATTTCTGAGCCAATTAATTTTTTCAGTAGCTTTATTTTGCAGCTATATGCAAGAGGTGGCACGGACAACCTCGGGTGATTATACTGGTTGATGCATTTTGATAAATGATGCTACACCTTTAAACTTTCCAATCATATTACTAGCATTATCTGAAGAAAATGAATAAGCAATTTTTCCATTCTAAACCTTTGTTTTTAAAATTTTCATTTATACAATTAAAAATACCTTCTCCTGTATTATTCGTGCATTCTAAAATAGAAATCAATGAAGTAATTATCACTCCCTTTCCTTTTCTTTACTGTAGTATGTTATAACCAATGGGTACAGTTTGTTATCATTGTTATCATTACTTCCATCAGTACTTAGAGAAAATGATGTACTTGCACACTGATTTTATAATATCAGTACAACAGTATTTTCTGCAAGCGTTTTCACAATAGCAGCAGTTTTGGTATGACCGTTTTTTTGCTATGGCAGAATCCGGAAACATTGCTTTGAAAAGCTCTTTGGAATGATCCGAAACAGAAAGCAGTAGATTATGTTCAATTAAAAAAAGAACAAAATAGCATTCCTTCGGCTTTTATAGGATCTGTTTCATCATCTTTTATTAAGAAATTTGTTATTTCTTTCTTTAGATTTTACGGTGCCAAGTTCTATATGCTTTTGAGAAAAACACATGCCGTTTACAGTCATCTTTTCCGCCATGAGCAACTGAGAAGTCTTTGTTGCATACACTGCAGTGTGCATGATTCACAGAAATTTCGGACGCTTTAATGCATGGAAATTCTGAAGAATATGAATCTTTAAACTTCTTCAGCTTTGATAATTTTGGCTTCTTTTTGTTCGAGGTAGCATTATTATGATTAAAAATCTTTCCACCTGATTCACAGTTCACAAGACACACGCTAAGCTCTCACCGTAAACTAAACATGATGCAGCCGAATGCAAGCCTAAACACGCATCAGCGAGGAAACTGGAGACAGACACAGAGACAATGTTGGGTGGGGGGAGACTATTGATAAAGTCGTTAACGGTTGGAGTTACTAATCTACGATTGGCTAATTCTTCAAAACTAGGAACGCACTCAACACGTGATATATGATAACACGAGTATTCAGCCAATCATCGGATGAATTAGTTGGTTCCGTTTTGCGTACTGGTTCTCCTGCTCTTGTTTCTGTAAAATCCGTAGTTTTTTCCATACTTTTCGTAGCTCGTAGTTTTTCATGAATTTCCGTAGAAACTACGGAGAATCCGTAGTAGTTGGAGTGTATGCACAAACAATGCCAATACTGCATTTTTATTTTAATTTGAATTTTGGTATTACTGATAAACAGTCATCAGTAATACAATTAAATAAGCATAACTAACTAAACAGTATGGGGAGTTAATTGTTATAATGTTCAGAAAATCAGGAATGAAAAACAATAAATTATAGTAAAAACATTAAAAATTGCAAAAAAAAAATGTTTAAAAATTGATGCTAATTTTAAGCATAACAGTGTGGATTTATAAAAGATCTATACAGTACAAGTCCGAAATCCGGACTGGTCAGGACTTCGGCGATTCCAGATTTGGGATTTTTCTGGATAACAGATCATCAATTTAAATCTGGTAAGATGGCATACAAATTATACAATTAAAAATATGAAATCGTAATTTATGAAATAAAGAACAATTATGATCTAAAGGGTATCAAATTTACAAAAAAAAAAAAAAAAAAAAAAAAAAAAGCTTCATATTTATTTGTTTACTTTATTAAACATCTCTTTCGAAGTAAGTTGTTT